TGGGGTGGAGGAATGGGGGCGGGGGCGGGCTCTGGGAGGGAGTTTGGGTATGGGGTGTGGGCTCTGGGCTGGGGTGGAGGAGTGGGGGTAGGGGGTGGGCTCTGGGAGGGAGTTTGGGTATGGGGTGTGGGCTCTGGGCTGGGGATGGGGTGGAGGAGTGGGGGCGGGCTCTGGGAAGGAGTTTGAGTATGGGCTCTGGGCTGGGGCAGGGGGTTGGAGTGTGGGAGAGGGTGAGGTGGGCAGCGCTTACCTTGGGCGGCTCCCGAAAGCGACCTGCACACACCTCTGGCAGCGACTCCTAGGTGGAGGGTCCAGAGGGTCCAGAGGGTCTCTTGGCGCCACTGCCCACAGGCATTGCCCCCCGCAGCTCCCATTGGCCACAGTCCCCAGCCAATGGGAGCTGTGGAGTCAGCGCTCGGGGCGCGGGCAGCACATGGAGACTCCCCCCGGGCCGTAGGGCCATTCCAGCCGCTTCTGGGAGTGGCGTGGAGCAAGGCCGGGCAGGAAGCTATCTTAGCCCTGCTGCGTTGCTGGCGGTGACGGCTGGGGCCCACCGGGCCCTTTTAAATCGCCTGGGGCAGCAGGCGGGGCTGGGAGACGCTCCGGGGCAGGTGCGCGGGGGTGGCAGGCGGAGCCGGGGGAGAGACGCATTGGTGGAGCCAGGCCCATGGGCCCTGAATATTCCTGGAGCATGGACACCACAGGCCCATATAACCTGCCGCCCCTGGGCCCACCGTGGGGATGGGCAGCTGCCCAAGGCACCCCGCCCGTGTACAGAAGGGAGAGCCCATTCACACCCCTAGACACAGTGCAGCGGGAAGGGCCTTTCGCTCTCTCCCTGCAGTGCCCTGGCTCAGAAAGTCAGGACTCCCAGCAGTGCCGCAGGGGCAGAACGCCCAGAGCCGTTCCCCGGGTTGGCATGGGAGCAGGTGCAAGCCAATCCTTTTTCCTTAACCCCCGTGGCTATTTTCCTGGGTTTAGTTTGCAGTGAACAGGGTGGTCAGCATGCCCTTGGTCGCCTCCGTTTACGAGCTGGCCCCTGCTGACTCCATGCAAGACAGCTGCCCCAGCACCGAACCCACCTGCAAGCTGGCCGAGAAAGAAGCGGAGCTCAGGGCCGCTGCAGCCGTCTCTCCTGCCCAACTGGCCGCAGCTGACTGGGGACCTCAGAGTGAGTCGTGGGTCGGCGGCCGGAGCTTGGGGAGTAGGAGGGGAACCCGAGGGTGAAGCTGGCGATTACAGCCGCTGGGAGAAGCCGGATTGGTTTTGATCCTTTCCCTCAAGCGTTCTTGCACCGGGAGCTCCCAGGAATCGGGGCCGTTGCTGGTCTTCATGTAGAAGGCCAGTCTCTGGTTAGTCCGGCCGTGCAGCTGTTCTTAGCACGCTGTCTCGAGGACAGCCAGCGTGGGGATGTCTCCCCGAGCTGGACCGGGTCTGATGGGGGCGCTCTCCGTTCGCCTATCACACTCTGTCATGGACAGGGGCTCAGCGCCAGTCCCTGGGGAACAGCTGTTTGGCAGAGGAAATTCCACAGCTTGCAGGTTATTCACATTCCCTTTGGGAGCTTCCTAGGAGATGCAGCCGAGAGATCACAGGCTGGGGAGCTGGAGGCAGGGCTGGAACGCAGCCTGTCTTGCCCCAGGAAGTCAAGCACCAGTTCACGTGGCCTCTCTGGGCCTCAGAGAAGGGGAAATGGAAAGGGGACAGTGACGCTGGCCCATCTGCAGGGGACACACTCTGAGCCTGGGGGGGTGAAAAGCTCAGGGCAAGTGCTCCATGTGGATTGATCATCATTGAAAGCACAGACGGTGCCGCATGCGCCATCTTCGCAGACACAGCCGCCCCGCAGCCTAGGCCCGATCCCTCAGCGTCTGCCCAGTGCTCCACAACGGCTTATTAACCACCCCGCTGTCTGTCCCAACAGCTGGGCCAGCCAAGGAGACCAGGAGCAACGGGCTGGCTAAAGGGAAGCTGCCACCCCCTCCGCGGCCACCCAAGCAGGTAACCATCTCTGCCTCCGCATCTCCCACTGAGAGACGAACCCAGCCCAGGCGCGGGGAACCAGGCGGGCGACCCGCCGTTGGAACGGCCAGTCGCTGATTGCCATGGCAATGCTAGAACACGGACTGCTGCGAAGAGCGGTTCACTAGCTGCCTGTCTGGTACTTACGTGGCCTCCTTTTCCCTAGTCTCTGAGCCCTTCACACTCTTTCTCCAACCCCCGCCCCGAGGCAGGGCTGTTACCCCATTGTACAGATGGGGAACGGAGGCACGGGCAGGCTAAGTGACTTGCCCAAGGTCACGCAGGGAGTCAGTGGCAGAGCAGGGAATTCAACCCGCAGGTGCCCTAACCATTGGACCATCCTTCCTTGTAGGCCCAGGATCTGCTTGGAAGGAAGCTTACACTGGTCAGTCGGGGGATCTCAGACATGGAGGCAGCAGCGGGAGCCCCCCTTGCCTAGGCAGGAGGGTTGTTAGTGTCCTGGTGTGAAGGCCTCCCCAGGATTAGCTGGGGGAACTTGCCCTTCTGACCCACTGCCCTCTCCCTCCTCTGAGTCACCGCCAGGTCTTTCTCCCTGACCCCAGCTACTCCTGCTTCCAGGTGGTGACAGACACAACAGAGCCGGTCTCTTACAAAGAGACAGAGGCCACGCCGGCGCAAGCAAAGGGCGCGGGAACCAGCAGTGGCCCCAAGGCGGCCCGGGCCAACGATCCGAGCCATCCCCACTTCGGGGGCAGCACCCGAACAGCCATGACCAACAGCCTACGCAGCCTCATGAACTCTAGAGTGGGTCAGCTCTTCCTCCGCAGCGTGGACAGAGCGCTGGACAAGTCGGAAGAGCTGATGAATCGGTATCTGCCCCTGACGGAGAAGGAGCTAGGTGAGAAGCTGCCCGAAGCACCGCTCTTCTTGGGGGTGCTATAAAAGGGCTGAGTCCCCCAGATCTTAGCACCCCCCCCCAACGTCCCCCTCACCTGTCACCCCTTGTACTTATCACTTCTGCAGCAGGTGGTCTCTGGACCTGCTTCCCCAAGGAACTCATTTAACAAGTTTCCTATTTACCTCCTGGAAAGTTGTATAGGCCCAGATCCTCCAAGGTACAGTATTAGGGACAGAAATACCTGTGAGGCTCCAGACCATAGTTCCTGCCTCCTCCTTAATGTGGTGTCCACCTCTCTCTCTCTCCAGCTGCACTCACAATGGAGGGGCTGGACGCCTCCGCAGCAGAACACCGTAAGAAGGGCTGCTTTGTGCGGCTGGGGTCCCTGTCCACCAGTCTGCGGAACCGGGCCTTCATGCTGATCTTGAATAAGCTGAGACAGACCAGGCAGAACACCCACGAGAACCTCTCTCAGCTCCACCAGACTATCGGCCTGGTAAGAACACCCCCGGCCCTCTCCTCGGCCTGCAAACTGTCCCGCCTGGGAGCCGCGTGGCCTCGGACTCCGCCGGATCGCTGTTATCGGGGACGCTCGCCCCTCCCAGTCCAGCCTCCCTCACTGCTCTTGGTCAGCGCACGGTGCCTAGCCTGACTCCACGGTGCTTTCTCCACCCTGCAGATTGAACACATCCAGCAAGAGAAGAAGCTTCCCGGCAGCAAGGAGAAACTGCACGGTATGTGGGAACAGTGGAGCCAGAAGCAGGAAGTGGGTCTCCAGACCAAGCCAGGGGGCAGCAAGGACAGCGGCTCCAGACAGCTCCAGGTATCTTCACTAGAAACAGGG